CACATTGGGAAATCTAGGATATACGGACCGCAGGGGAAGTATTTAATAGAAAAATATATGCAATAGGACATATATAGGTTTAGGTTTAGGATATAATAAATATAAATATAGATCACGCTGAGAAAGGAATAAAAGGCTGACAGCACTGAGAAGATCTTCAGAAAAGCTTTGTTATCTCCACAATTTTCCCATTTATTACCAATACCTAAGAATAAACACAATAATTACCAGTGAGCTTTATTTTCTGTGACACATTTTCAATTATTCAGTTCAGTTTCGCATATTTTTGCCATAAATGTACATGTGTCAAATGCATGACAGTTGGACAAAACGAAAGAAAAACAAAGGCGGGCAGACATTGTCATTCGGATGATTCTTTTGAGCATAACTCAATTAAATGCTCTTTTGGTTATTCGTTAATGCAATTTATAGACAAATATAATTTATACTACTATATATATTTATTATATATAAATAAAATACATAAAGACAAAAGAATGCAGCTCTTTGAGAGGCTCCAAACTCAATTTTGATATTTCTGCTAACCCGTTTATGCCATTAAAATGTTTTGCAAAGACTATTATTGCGTGTGGAATTTAATTTGAACATCAATAACGGCACTAGCACAGGCTTGTGTGTTCTGTGCTCCACGTTTCGAGGGGGGGAAAGCCAGACAGGATGGCGGTCCTGCCACAGCCATGATGCCAATGGTCGCCGCAGAGATTTTGCAGTTGCATGGCTGACGTTTGGTCGCCCGAGCGCGCGGAAATGGCGTCGTTAAATTGGTTCCGTATCCGGTTGCCATTGCCATTGCCATCGAGAGGCGAGAGGCGACAGCGACAGCGAGAGCGAGAGGCAGCAAGGACAACAAGGACAACAGCGCTGCAGGACAGTTGAAGTTTACTACCATTTGACTGCAGCTCGATGACGCGACGCAGCCCCCGAGGCTGCCGTCAAGGAATCCACTTTGCACTTACATTTCCTCTGCGGACGCCACTCCGAATGGATCTCCGTCTCCCCATGGAGCAGAGCTCTCTCGAAAACGGCAGGATTAGGATAATTGTCGCCTCCTTGCCCCCCTTTTCATCCGATTGCCAATAGCAGTTCAGCGGTGATTAACGGAAGCTGCAATCGATATCGATATGGATAGCTGCCGCGAGAGAGAACTTGATTATGCATGATTATCTTGGATTTATCTACCAAATTGGGCTTTTTACATAACAATAAATATTATATAAATATAATAGTATTATAAATAAAAAATATAAAAAACAAAAAACATTTATATTAATTTTAGAAAACCTAACCTAAAACATACATCTTAAATGCTTTCTGAAATAGTAATTAGACTGTGGGATAGGATTCCTGCAGTACACTCCAAAGTTGAGGTAGAAAATATTGATAGTTTGATACTAGATTCTTCCGATAACATCGATATTCTCCTCAAGCTGCTCCTTTCCCTAATGACTGCCTGTCTGCAGAGTTCCCTGACTTTTGTGGGCTGCGATTTCCTTTGCAAAATTGATTAAGTTCGATGCCCGAACCGAGCTTGCCGGCGGCTCATGTGGCATCTGCATAATTAATGGCACAGGTACTTGCGGATGTAGCTGCAGCCAGGTGTAGTCGATGTCGCTGTGTGTGGTGGAATTCAATTAACTCTGACTGAGAGACGTGAAAACCTTTTGAGGCGTCAATGGGCAACCGCAATTGATATAAATTTGAAATTTTGCAGCCTCCGTTTTTCCCTTTTACGGCCGTCGCTTCCCTTTTTTTTTTGCCTCAATAAAAAATTTAATTTCCAGCCTAATGGTAGTCATGTGTGTGTGTGTGCTTTCCGAGAAGGATACACTTCGGCGCCGGCTGCACTTAATTTGCTCCTCGAGTTGGCCGTAAAAGGCCAAAAGGCCATTGACTGAAATGAAATAAAAGGGCCTGCAGTGTGTGTAATAAATTCAGCGAGTGCCACATAGGAACAGTGCATTATCACCTTAAATTCTACAAGCGTATTTAACAGATTAGAAAAGGACTCAGACTTGGCCGCAATTTAAAGAAAAATAAATGTATTTGTGGTCTAAAAATAACTGCTGTTGAATTCGTGAAGAATTTTCGGTGTTTTCTTGAATGTTGGAAAAGTTTCCCCGCCGCCAGGGCCACGCCCCCCTGCTGTTCAGCTATTTTCAGTTCGGTTTCCACAGCTCAGACTGCCCTTTGCATGCGGCACGCAAAAAGAAAAAGCAAAAAAGACCAAAAACAGAGAAAAAAAGAGAAAAGCAAAAATTCAGAAAGCAAGCTGCCGAGAAGAAGGATCTCCAGGCAGAACCAGTGACCAGAGCACCCCACCAGGACCAAAACCAAAGCGCCGGAATGCTCAAGTTGAGCACTCTCACACACACACAGCCACACACCCACCCATGCGATGTCCTCCGTCGGAGCGAATTACGGACATTGGGCTACCATTTTGGCCAACAATCCACTTACGTTGAAACGAAACCGGGCTCCTGGCTAGAGAACCAAGGGGTATGCAGGGCAGGATGGCTTTTAAAGGCTCTTAACTTTATTTATAAATAAAATAAAGTAAACAATTATTAAAGAATTGCTTTTAAAGTTAAAAAAGCTTTAAACTTTAATAATATATAAAATAAGGGATGTTTAATTAATTCATGAATTTTGAAATAGTCGTAATGTTGTAGAAATTACATTACATTTTTAGTAGTTTTAATTTTAATATTTATTTATTTTATTATACAGCTTTTTCTTCAGTTAAAATAATAGTAAGAAATAATAATAAGCATTCTTGATATTATTTAATTTAAAAAGTTAATTATTTCAAGTTTATTTCAATTGTGATTTGTAAATTTATTTCCTTGTAACCATAAAATTATTAAAGAATTACTTTTTTAGTTGAAAAAACCACAAATAAAAGCCTATTGTAAAGCCATTAAAAAGATTTATGTTTATTTGCATTTTTAAAAGAAACAAAAAACGTTTACAGGCAATATTTAATGAATAATTGAATAAAATTTGATTCATAATTTTCATTCAATAATTATAGCAATTACTGTACCTAATTGCCTCAGGTTTTTGTTGTACTTTTTTAATTCTCCAAGATTTCAACAACATTTAAATCTCAATTTCAATCTTATGTATACGCAATATTACGTATACAACATGTGGGCCGGCCATAGTTAGCATATTCCGCATATTGCCCAGAGTCCCAGACTGGTTGAGGGTATCCCCCTCACTTCGTTAGGGGCACTCATTGGACGCTGGCCTGCCCTCGTGCTTTTCAATTTACAAAATACGCCTCCAGCCGCTTTTCACGCGTCGCGAACTCGCAGCATCCACGACAAAAAAAAAATAAAAAAAAACAAAAGTGAGGAGAAAAAGAAAAGCGGAAAAAAGACAGAAGAGGCACACACAGAGGGGGGAAAAAGAAAAAGGGAAAATCGACAGCAAAAAAAAAAGGGGAGAGTGGGGCAACTAGCCCGTGACAGGAAAGCGACAAGGCCCGCGGCTATTAAGCCAGCTCCTTTCAATGGCTGTCCCAGGGATACCCCCTTTTCCGTTGCATTTTCCAGACTCCCCCACCCTGCCCAGAGTAAAACGCATTGGCATTTGTAATTTCTTGAAGGGGGTTTTCGGTTTTTTTTTTATTCATAATTCATTACTTGATTCATATTTATACTATTTTTTGCCGCATATTTACCGCCGTCGCCGGAGGCATCCAGCGGATCCGCATTACTCTCAAGTACCTACAAATAATTCTCTACATCAAGTGCTTTGCTTTGTTTTCTCATTTGCTTAGGGGACTTGCCTTTGCTTTTCTCGGCCTTTTTCGGCATTATTTTCCTTTCGTTTCGTTAAATTTTAGCTTAATCTTAAGTGTGCCTTCTTCCGCATCGCTTTCAAACGCATTTTTCATTTCGTTTCATTTTATTTTCTTCACGCTCCTCTGCTTTGCCAATTTTCCGCAATCATTCGGTGTAATTTTCTCAAAATTTCCAAATGACAAGCGTCCAGCATTTTGTCTGCTCTTTAAATTCCCTCCTCACTTACACAAATTGTATTTGACTATTTTGCACACACATTAATAAAAAAAAAATAACAAACACATCTATGTTTTCGTATGTTCATAATTTATAGATTAATATGTCGTCTGTTTTTAAGGATTTTCATTTACTCGCACAAAAACGCTGGAAAATGTTGGGTTTAAAAAACACTTTGAGGTGTTAAGTGAAACCTTTTAATGCACGGAAAAAGGAAGTAAAAGGTTTAAGCCGAGGGATTTGAATGAAAATTATTATTAAATATTTTATTATTTCTTTAAATTCTTATGAAAACTAGTTAAAAGGGTTTTTTATTATTATTTTTTTATTATATATATATTTTTTTAATTAGAAAGTAAACTAACAACATATTTTTTAGGAAAAAAACCCCTAGAAAGTGCTGAAACTGCAATTGATCTTGTTGAAGCCCTCTCTTTGTGGCTTTGCCAGGAAACTGAAAATCCCACAAGTGGATAGCTGAGTTCAAGTAATTGCTGCTGAGAGCTTTCCAGCTTGCAATTTTCCTCGTTTTGCCCGCTTTTCTTTTCCATTTCTTTGGTGGCTCGTCGTAGGCCGAGTAAGCGAAAATCCAAAACAGACGCCTTATGTATACGTTTTGTAAACACTTTTCTTTTAGTATTTATCGTACTTTAGATTTGGCCTTTGCTATGCACACACACTCCCTTGTCCTTCGTCTTGTGTCCTGCGTCATACTTCCCCTGCTCCCCCTCGCCAGCCGCCTTTGTTTTTCCCGTCTTCTTCACCTGCTTTTTGACAGACTCCCAATGACTCCGCACTGAGCGAAAAATTTTTGAGAATTAAGAAAAAAAATATTTAAAAAATATAAATCTGCACGAGAATTTCCAAGGAGTTCTATCTATAATTGTTATTAATTAATATTATTAAATAATAATTTTAATTTTATGTATTTTATAATAATGTTTTTAAATAATATTTTAAGTATATTTAAATATCATTTAAAGAAATCCAACCTTAACTTGCCCAATATTATTTCTTGTTTTAGTAAGAAATTTCCCAATTATTTTTCTCAGTGCCCACCTGCCTTCTTGTGCCATCTGCAAATGTATCTGTGCCTCCTGTGTGTGTTTGTCTTTGGTTTTATTTTCATTTTCTTTTTCTCCGGTGAAAAATTGACATATTCGGTACTCTGGCAAGTGGAGTCGAGTCTAGTTGAGTTGAGTTTTCTTTGCGTTTCCGTCTGGCGTTGACTAACAGCTTGGATTTCCGGCATTTCTGCCGGAGACAACACAAGCCCAGAGGAAGCAGGGGACGCGGCATTGAGTTTAGTTTTCTCTTACCAACAAAACTTTGGCCGGAATGTGTGGATGAGGATGCGGAGGATGCGGGTTTTTGGGTTGGGGAAATGGGAATAAGGAAATGGCCTGGAATGGGTTTCGGTTTGGGTTTGGGTTTCTCTCTGATTCTCAACCAATTACGTGCCAAGTTCGGGAGGAGCTCTCTCTCTCTGTGTGCTGAACTTACTTCCTACCATCTTTTCTTTCTTTTTTTTTCTCTCTGTGTGGCTGTTGTTATGGGTTAACAGTGGTTACTGTTACGATTACGATTACGGTTACTAGTGCGGATTGCTACTGCTGCTGCTGCTGCTGCTCCTCGTCCTTGGGGGTGGTATCTAGCCCAGGATCTTCTTGAAGTAGCTAACTGTTTCCGGCTTGGTTAGCGAGCGTCGTCGATTCGGCTTGAATGGCGCCTCAGTTTCCTCCAGGAAGTTGTGTCGCGTGGTGGCTGCCTCCTCCTGTTCCGGTGGCTCACCCTCCTCGGAAGCAGTCTCCACCGCGGAGTCTCCTTCGTCCTCCTTCTTCCTGGCCTGCTTCTCGGGAATTGCAGTTGTTGTTGATGCTGCTGCTGTTGCTGGTGTGGCATTCGATTTGATTTCATTAGCTGCGGCTGTTGCTGGCGCTTCACTGGCTCCTCCTGGAGCTACTGCTGTGGTCTCCTCAGCTGTTTTCACGCTTGTCTTGGCCCCATCGCCTGTGGTTGCTGCTGTTGTACCTGTTGTCGCTATCACGCTTGATGCTGCTGCTGCTGCAGTTACTGCTGGTGTGGCTGCTGTCACTCCCTTCGATGACGTGACTGTTGACGGCTCTGCTTCCGCCTGCTTAACTGTCGTTGCTGCCGCCGGAGTGGTGGTAATTGTTGCATGCTCAACGCTGGCATGCTTCGAGGGCGGCACATAGTGCGACTTTACCAGCAACATTGGCGGTATGAAGCGGGTATTGTCTGCGGACTCGTTGACATGCGTTGCATGCTGCTGTTGCTGCTGCTGCAACTCGAACAGTTGCTGCTGCTGCTGCTGGTGATGCTGCTGTTGCTGCTGCGAGGGATGTATGGGATGGGCCATGTTGCCATTGGCTTCGTTTCGTTGGCTTGTAACTGCAATTCCAGCTGTGGTTGCCAGGGTTGGTGTCGCATTTGTTGTTGTTATTGGTGAAGTTGCTGCTGCTGTTGATGTTATTGTTGATTGTTTTGGTTTTTTTGTTGTCGATGTAGATTCTTGGGGTTTTCCCGTTGTTGTTGTTGTTGTCGGTTGCTGTAGTTTTTCTGTTGTTGTTGTTGAGTGGTGTAGTTTTTCTGTTGTTGTTGTTTGTTCAAATTTAACTGTTGTTGTTGTTGACTCTAGTGATTTTTCCGTTGTCGTTGCCGTTGATTGTTGTGGCTTCACCGTCGTCGTCGTCGTTGTGGCAGCGCTTGCTTGCTTGGGCTTCTCTGTGCTCGTGGTTGTTGCTGTTGTTGTTGTTGATGGCTCTGGCTCTGTCTTCGCTGCCCTGGCTGTTGTTGTAATTGGCTCCTTTGTTGGTGTTGTGCTTGTCTCTGGTTGAGAGCGTGTGGTGTCTATAGCTTTCGGTGTGGTAATTATCGGTGCATCAGTTGCTGTTGTTGGTGCTTCTGTTGTTGAAATTTTAGCTGTTGTTGTTGGTGTTAATTTGGCCTCCAAAATGGGCGACATGGTGCGCAGATCCTGCGGCAAGATCTTCTTCTTGTGCGGCAAGTGCTCGAATATCTCATTGGAGGCATCACTGTTGCTATCCTCATCCTCGTTGAGAGGCAAACCCATACCAAAAGCCATGCCCGGCGGTAGTTGCTCCTCGCTAAGAGCCGGCTGGTCACCCATCATCATCTCCTCCTTCTGCTCCTTGAGCACCTTCTCCTTCTCCTCCTGCTCCTGCTGCTGGTGAGCCGCAGTCTTCCTGGACTTTTGCTGCTGCTGCTGTTGCTGCTGCTGATGTTGCTGGTGACTCTGCAACTTCTTTGCGAAATCCGGAACAATCACCTTCTTGGCCGCCTTCTTCACTGGCTTGGGCACCAGGTCCGGTATCCTATACAGACCCGACATGGAGACGGTGCCGGGGGCATCCGACTGCATCAGTTCCCCTAGCCCGGGAACCGAGGACACTCGCTGAGCTGGCGGCGCCACCTGAATGTTGATGGCCATACGAGATCCATAGTTGGGAAGCAAATCGATGTCATTGTTCTCGTTGTTGTCCGTGCGAATATTCTTGATGATCTGCAGCGACTTGAAGTGCGAGTTGGTGATGTCCGTGATGCGCTGGGCCTCCAGGCGCTCCTTGGGGCAGATCAGCTGGCCAATGGCGCGTTCACGATCCTGCCAAAAGAGGTGATAGGGGATTAGGGATGACTCGGAGGGCTCATTTCTTGATTAAATATTATCTTATGGATCTTGAAACAAGTGAAAAGAGCTGGAGAACTTGCTGAAACTCACCTCCTTGCCCTTGCATGTGTGTCGCAGCAATCCCTCCTCCTGGCAGTTGCGAATCAGCTCAATGCTGGCCGTGTCCGCCATGTACTGCATGGTCAGGTTGGGCATGTCCTTTAGGATGCAGGCATCCGCCCAGCTGGGCACTGTTTTTGGGGGCGGGTAATAGCTGAGAGATGGGACATCTCCCTGGGTAAACTCTGGACTTACCTGGCATTTCGCAGAGGAAGGAGGCGGTTTCGGGACCGCCGCACCGAAGGGCATGCCAGCGGTAGTCACGGATGGGATCGATTACGGCGCAGAGGGGAGCATCCATCAGGGGCAGCGACTCGGCCCAGTAGCCAGTGTCCGCCACCAAGGGACGTGAGTTCCTAAACCAAATCCCGAAATGAAAGGAATTTAGTTAATTTTTAAAATTAATTTTAAGAAAGAGAAACTCAGACTTGAAGGAAATAATTTTGTGTTTTTGAAGACGTTTTTCGATATTGTTGGTTTGAAACTTTATTCTTTTCTTTCATTAATTTCTTAAAATCCACCGTGGTTTCCTAAATTTAATTGTTTGCCTTTTTGTCGTGAAAATGTATCGCTTTTCTTGTAGTTTTCATTTATTTATTTTCCTCGACATTTGCCGCTCGTTAAGTTGAACATTTTCCCAAAACCTTGACTCCGGAGCGGTCACAGATCTATTCCTAAATGAAGGACTGCTATACACATGTCGGCCCCAACAGGACAATTGTCACACAATCCCTTTCGGCTCTATTTGTAGCACAATGTCTACACTGGTCAAAAACTAAAATTATAAATTAATAAATAAATAATAAATACAAAAAATAAATAATAAAAATAAATCTGCAAATACTTTCAACTTATTTTCTTTCAAATTCTATATTATATATTTTATATATAAGAAACAACATTAAAAAATATATATATTAATAAATTTACCATTTTAATAAGTAGATTATTTTTACATTTAATTTTTTACTTCGTTTGTAATTACCTTAGCATAATTATAAATATTTCAGAATGCATTTTCCAACCCATTTGATTAATAATTCAAGTGTATGATATTGGTGTTTGGTTTTTGGTGCTGCTACTGTTTTTGGCAATGATGTTGATATTGTTTTTTGTTGTTTTTTTTTATGTTGTTGCTATTGTTGTACTTACGACCACATAAAACGATCCGAGTTCTGCGGTCGCATGAGACCAATCCAAACGATGTCGTTCACATCCAATTCCCTCAGCAGGTCGCGCGTTGCATCGAATTGAAAACTGTTGTCGACTGGCAGGACATCCCGACACACACACACACAGGCACACGTATCCCCAAAAAAAAAAAGGATGAAAAGAGAGGGAGAGAGAGAGAGAGAGGGAGAATAGTTCAAATGAAAACGAGACGACAAATGCTTTTTTTTTGTTCTACACAGAGTATTTCTATTAAATTCGCCTCCTCGTCCATTGTTGCTTTTATATTTGTTCCTTTTTCATTCAGCTTTTTGTTTCTATTGCTTTTTTTTTGTTTTGTGTGTGTTTTTGGGACAGGATGTGTTTTTTTTGGGATGTGGAAGCCATCAGCTCGATGCCATCCTCCAGTGACAACACAAATTGTTAACAAAACGCTGTTGGAAAATTATTTTTGTTTCTCATTTTGGCCGGTCTCGTGTCAGTTTCTGTTTTCATTCCTGTTTGCGATTGTTATTTATCCTTTGTTTGTGCTTAACCCCTCAGCTTTTTGTCACATCGTCCTGCCTTAGCCCCCTTTTTCACAGATATACCCAGGCAGAGTCATATTTGCATATGTGGAGAAAAAATTGGACTAGGCTCAGTGATCCCTGACCTGTCCATGGAATTCCATTAAAGGTGGCAAGGGACAATTTTTTAGAACATAAACATAGTTTTTAATTTAAGAAATAATTAAAAAAGAATTAAGATGAAAATTTTCTAGCTCTCCTTTAATTTTTTTTGGTGATTTTTACACTTAGAAAACCTTAAATATTCGATTGAAAAGCAAACTTGGCTTAAATATTTTAGAAAGAAGTATGAAAGAATTTTTGGAAAATTTTTTTAAACTAAGAAAATATATAAGTTAAGCCACAAATAACTTTCTATAACCTTAGAGGTCGTTAAAAAATATTCTAAGCTATGAAAATAATTATTTAAGCCGAGAATAATTTATTTTTAAGCCAGAGAACTAGGCAAACCATTTTAAAAAATTAATCCCTAGAAAAAATATATATATTTAAGTTAGGAATAATTTTCCTATTTTCTTAGAGGTTCTTAAAAAATAATTTTCTAACCCCTGAAAATATTTATTTAAGCCGAGAATATTTTTGTTTTGAGCCAGATGAGTTAGCATCCTCAGAAGAAAATATCTAAAATGCCCCAAGCCTTTGTTATTATCCCTAGCTGAAAAAAACTAAAAAATCCCTAATAATTCACATGAATAAATTTAAACTCGGTGACTTTTATCGGCGAATCGATGCGGATGCCGATGGCCCAGCAGAGATCGGAGTAGCCTCTCGCCTGGGCCCCAAATGAAAAGTTTTGTTGAAAGCAAAAATCTATAGATTCTGGCAACTTTGCTGGGAGACGATGGTCGTTGTTTTGGGTCATTTGAGCGACCGAGCCGGCGGCTGATTGTGATTTAGATGCACCTAGGACTGGCTGCTGGCCATCTTTATCTGGCCACTGTGACCCCAATCTCAACCTGGTCCACTTCCAGGTCCATGTCCAGGTCCAGGTCCCCCAGCCAGCACTGCAGCGACAGCATTTGTCAGGAGGATTTATTGTATTATGAGGTTGGTGAGGCCGAGAATGAAAATGAAAATGAGGGGGAAAAGCAATGCGGTAAACGGGAATGGGTTTGGGTTTGGGGTATAAAATGCAGGCCAGCGAGAGAGCTCGCTTTATTCTCGGGCAAAGCTCTTTCGGGGTCTCCCGGCCACATAAAAGACTCGACTCGACTCGACTCGACTGTGGCTGCGTCACTTTGCTGTCATTTCATTCATTTGCCGACCATAATGGCAGCTCCTGCTGTCCCTCCTCCTCCTCCTCCTCCTCCTCCTCCTCCTCCTCCTGCATATTCCTCGCCAGAATCTAGATGCATTCGTTGCTAGGTGACAGTCGTTCAGTTGCTGCGTCGTCCCTTTGTGCCAACAGCTGCCGGACATTTGTAATAATGTGCAGGACTACGACTACGACTGGGACTAGGGCGACCCTCCCTCTGACCCCCGTCTGCCCCCCTGGGGCAACTTGGCTAACCAGCTCTGGCGACTGTGTCCATTTCTCACTTCCTCCCGTAGCCTAGGCTTATTTGCATTTTACATTTTTCTGGCACGGGGACAGCACAAAAAAAGGGGGAAAAACAAACGAGATCTTAACCTGAAAATTAAATGCAGCTAAATTCATGTCAATTTAGGTTTTGTTAAAGTGGTAAACGTCTGAAGATAACAGGAGACACCTGGGAACTAGGTGAATCTTTAGGAATATGTGAGATAGATAGATTCAAAAATAAAAGGAGACAAGAGGAAACCAAAGGAATCTTCAGGAATGAAGCTATAGATTCACTTGTGATATATATTTAAAATTGAAGAAATTATAAACCCCCCTAAAGCTGGGCTCTACATCCCATATCCATAGCTTACCTGTCACCAGATTGGCATGATGGAACTGGCACACGGCATCGGCCTCGAACCAGGAGATGCGATCGCGGAAGAAGCGATAGAAGACGTTCAGGCCCTCCTGCGGCATTGTCCAGGTGTTGCTCACGTTCACCTGTAAGCAAAAAAATGTTGAAAAAAAAAACAACGTATAAGTAGAGTTCATTTGCTTTATTTTGTATGCGCAACACGGCGCACGGTGCGTATACGTTATGCATTAAGCATACGCCTCGTGGCCCGTAAAGCGTTTACATTTTTAATGCTCGCTGCGGATGGAAGGGGTGCCAAGGTGTGTGTGTGTCGAGTGTATATTCTCTACGACATTAAAAATACATACAAGGCAACACACGCGCGCATTTGCTTAGGCATGAAGCCAAAAAAAAAAATAAGGGACGACCGACGAGAGACGATGTGACGCCGCGACGCGATGTAAAATCTGCTTTGAAGCCTGTCCCCATATATTTCATTAAAGCATAGAAGATGGGGTGTGGGAGCAGCTGCCACAAAGCAATGACACCCCCACCCACCCAACTCCCCCCCTGAGAGATTCCAAAAATGTTCTTTGTAGCAAGCCGCGTGCTGAGACCGAAACACCAACGTTGGGGGAACCAACTGGGGGCCTTAGCTCCCTGCTCCCTGCTCCCAACTCCCAGCTTCCCGCTTTAGCTTCAGCTCCAGTTGCTCCTCCAGATCCCGGGCCGAGTGACAGGCCTTGCTTTTCTACATTAACTAATTAGGAGCAGGGAGCAGGGCAGGCGGCACATAAATACCCGCAGTCTGGGGCACAAAAATATACACTCTGTGTACTGTGTTTCTGTGTCTTCTTTATGCCGTGCAAGTAGATCTCTCCCGGCACAAAGACGTGGCGGCGAAAAGCCGATGACAAAGTGCGGCCAGTGGAATGAGGAAATTAAGGTGGCTTTTGGCGGCTTTTCCAGAAACGTTCCCCGTGTCAAACGGAAATTTAAATGGCGAATTTCCTGGGTTATTATGTACAAAAATGTCAGGTATTATGGCTCGCAAAAAAAAAGCACAAAAACACGGTGGTGTGTTTGTTAATTTGAGCCCACTTTATAAATATAAACTTGAAGAAAATGTTAAAAATAAAATAAAAGTTTTTACAAGTTCTATAAAAAGACAGGATTAATTTTAATTTAATATCAAGTCATGCTAGTTATTAAATTATTTTTGTTATAAAAAAAACCTTACAAAAGCCTGGCTTGATTCCGAGTATTTCGTTGCTAAAAAATTTCCCTAATTGCAATGCCTAGTAACCTCTTCAATTAAGGGCTTTTTCGGCTTTCCTTGCCTTCTCCTCCCTGCTTTCCCCTGGCACATGTTTCATCCTAAACTCCCTTCATTATTATATTTTTTTTGTTGGTAACTAATTAAATTAAATTTATTTTTGCCAACATCCCAAAAAAGCAGGCTCAGGTCGAATTTCCTTGGCAAATGCATGCCAACATTTTGATGGAAAAATTCTTGTGGCTCAGAGCTGTTCGCGAATAAAAAAAGCAGAGAAATTAAGGATATAAAGAGAGAGATAGAGACAGAGAGAGTGAGAGCGAACGAAAGTCTAAAGGAATTCTGGTCATAAATTTGGAAATTTGGCTTTTCCCGACTTGCATGCGGGTGGGTGGGTCTTCCCCTCTCTCTCTCTCTCTCTCTTTGAAAGCATTTCATTAACTTAATTAACATTTAATTGAAAAATTCAAAAAGCAACTTCTTTGCCATTGTCAAGAGAGGTGCGGGCTGCAGGGGGGGGCATACGCAGATGAAAGTACCTCCTGCACAGCAACAACAACAACAAGAAATTCCATCAACAAAAAAGTGAGGAATAAAAAACGCTTTGGCAATGCCTTCGTCAAAGAAAAAGGCGGGCTGTAGGATATATATGTTATTAATACACATAGAAAAGTGATCTTTTCTTTCTAAATATGTGTGAAAAATATTAGGAAAAACTCTAGGACTTTCTGTAAAATAAATTTAGTTCTTACGAATCCTTTTTTATTTTTTTTTCTTTTAATTAAAAATTTTTTTTATTGTCTAGATCTATTCTGAGAAGATAACTAAAATGTATTAAGCTTTTGAATAATTTATCTTTGGTAATTTATTTTCTAAAAATCCATTGAAATGCAAAATAAAATATTTTCCTTTGCTAACCCTATGATTTTCTCACAGTGCACTCGATTTGATGTACTCGCGGAACACTTAGTGCTGGATAAGTCACTTATCAGTCGATTAACTTTGTTTTTATATCCTCCATTCATCGTTTTATTTCGCTTTTAACGGCCTAACAAAGTGGTAATTCCATTTGCCCTTCAATCGCAGCTATTATGTAAGCATGAATATATTTATACCCTGCCTATACAATACATATATATATATTTATATTTTTGCATGGCATTTTATGTCGAATTTATGGCAGTTAATATCTTGATGGTTTCTCGTTTCGAGGTCACTAATTGGCAACAAATTATTCAACGCAATCGAAGTGGCAACTAACGCATTAACACAATGCCAGTGCCAGTGTGTATTCGGGAATTATTAATTATGCATTCGAAATTGTTGCAGCATCGGTAATTAGTCAATTATTAACAGCACACAAAGGAAATAAAAATAAACAGAATGCCTCGATGCGAAATATTTGATCAACAAATGCGTCTCATTACGGACGAAACGAGGACGAGCTTCGCTCTGGGTCCTGCCCTAATATCCTTTCCTTCCATCAAAACATCAAGTGGAGCAGCTAACTGCAGCAGCAGCTGCTGCAAAACTAATAAGAGTCAAGAGCAACAATGGCAGCAGCAGCAGCAACAATAAGAGTTGCAATAAGCGCCACATAATCATCTTAAGTTATTGCAATGGCAGTGTCATTAGCATTGCTCCCTATTGGCGTCATTTCACCCCAAAGGGAAGGGAGGGGTTAAAGCTAAATAAGACTCTAATTAAATCTGAACAATGTATGGTCTTTGGGGGAGAGAAAAGGATTTGTAGTTACATATATTTAAAGCTTTTGGTGGGTTTATTTATGGTTAATATTTGTTGCCAGTAAATGTTCTACTTTCGTCTTAGATCTATATTAAGGGGGGGTGGTATGGTATTTACAATTTTTTAAAAATTATTTTAAATATTTATTCAATTTATTTATTCATTTAAAACAAACACTACAAGTTGAGTAATTTAAGTATTATTACCCCGATTAAAGTCAAGTAACTCTAGTTTTTCAACAGCATCTGATCATATATGAAAATAGTGCCAAAAATCGTTACACTAACTTCCTCGAGCAGACCTTTATTGTGTCAATATAAAAACTAAGGCCTTGAGGGGGAAATCAAATAAATAAATAAAAAGAAAAACCTCAGCTTAGACGAGCACCCGAGAACATATTAGATGTTCCAACAGCAGCATCGCAGCAGCCACATTGCAGCAGCAGCAGCTGTTTGGCTTGGCCGTTTGTTGACTTTTTTCATTTTCTTTTGCTGCCCTTTTTCTTTCACCCTTTTTAAGTTTTTTTTTGTATCATTTTTACTCTTTCTATTTTTCTTATTTTCTTTTTTTTTTTGCTGCTTTATTTTGGCCGTTCTTGTGCTTTTTTGGCAGTCGGCAGCAAGTTGCTGTGCCAACTTCAGCCTCTTTGCCGCTGTTGTTTGTCTGCTGTTTTTCCTCCTCCCCCCTCTCCCCCCTCTTTGTTTGCAATTATGATGAAGACATCCTGCAGGATCTAGGGGCAGGGAAGGGGTGTGCACAAATTAAACAAAAGAATAAGTGAAATCACAAAGCGCTGCCAGAGATTTTTTTTTGTTTTGTGTGCTTGCATAATTTTTGTATTTGTTTTATTTTTTGTATGTGTGTTTTTTTAATATATATATATTTTATGTATTTAAAATGAAAAGTAGTAAGGCGAATTTAAAACAAAAAGTATTATAATAGTAAGTCTGCTGTCAACTCTCTGTCAATTTTATTAATGAGCTGACCATGTAGATGGGCTTGAGATGAGGAGTCGTTTCTCGAGGAGAAGGGGGTCAGAGCACCTGTTGGAACAGTTTTTCAATTTTTTTTTTAGATAAATCTGATTGGTTCTTGGTGGCCTCACATCAGAGAGCGGAGATGATAAGCAATAATATGAGAGCGAATTTGTAAGCTTAGCTCAGCTCTCAGTGTGTGCGCTCTTATACACGTAGTGTTTGTGTGTGCATGTGTTTGTTTCTCTGACATTATTAGCTCTCTTATCAGCTCCTCTCTCAGATCTGCTCGCAGCTCGCATCTTTGCTCTCAGCTCTGCTCTCAGCTCTGCTCTCAGCTCTGCTCGCAGCTTTCGCTCAACTCTGCTCGTAGCTTTCGCTCAACTGTGCTCACACCTTCGCTTTCAGCCGCTAGTGTACGTAGGGCCAAATTCTAGCTCTCTCTCACTGTCGATCAATCTCCCCCTCTCGCTCTCTAAATCTACCTCTCTCCCTTTCAGCTACCTATTAATATAGGCACGCCTACCGCCGCAGCTTCGCCTCTCCTCTCGCGATCACTTGTGCCAAAATGATCCTTTATTATATATAAATCTTTCTGTGGAATGAAACAGCTAGTATTTTCGGCTAAGATATATAGAAAACTTTTCCAAAAAAATCCCATTAATTGTGTTTTATCTTAGTATTTAAAACTATGGCATAGGAAATTTAAATCCCACCAAATTTTAGATAAATTACACAGAATTTGGTGTCAGAAATATTTTATTGCTTTTATTTAGACACTTTTTGAAGAGATTTTCACACCCTTGTTATTTCGAAAGCCTTCTCTATTATCAAAGAGGTCCTTGCTTTCGGCCGAGTTGTTTAAGGTATGGAAACAGGCTCTAGCTATCAGTGGAATCTGCTTTATTTGCATACTTTTTCGGTTTCCCCCAACGAAAGAAAACAAATTGTGAATGCATAATGCGCCCCTTTGATAGTCGTCGGCTTCAGTTAAAGGGAAATATTTTCATTTTCCTTTCCTTTATTGGCTTTTTACCAAGGTACTCGAGCGATTATAATAAAAGGGAGCCTGGGAGTGGGGTGTGGGGAGACGAAGGTCCTTTGGCCCGGGGTGTCAACACAATCAGCGCCTGCGGGCCACACGCAATCC